CCAGGTTTTACCGTGACCCAAGTCGAAGTATTTCAACCCCGTGGTTGAGCAAAAAGACAAAAACACCGAAGCCATTATTGAATTTTATCCTGGTGGGACGCCACGATTTAGAAGGTAAGCTTTTGTTGTGTTGCTTGGTGTGTTGATGTGACTGACTTGCTTCTGCAATGCTGTATGTTGCTGTACAAATCTATTACCAGATCTAGTAGAGTGGCTTCTGTGACCGCTCGGACATCGTGGAATACAGCGGAGGAGTTTGACTTGTTGGTCAAGGTCCTGTCAGCACGTAACAACTGATCTTTAGCGACAGAGAAGGGCAAGGTATAGAGCAGTATCGTGACTGCGCTGAGCTACCAAGCACCATCGCGTACTTGATAAAGGTAACTTAAGTAGTGTAAGCATCGGGATGTGTCGCGGCAATGCCGTCCGGTCAGAATACGTTGCGCATGTCACGACCGGCCAAACCAATCTAAGTTATCAGGCTGATGCAAGACTACGACCGCTACAAGTACATCACCAACCTAAGTGGGACTGGGATCGGCGCAGATACACGCAAACCAACGATTGATGACGACGCCTGGAAGCAGCTGATGGAGTCGAAGCCAAAACAGCGACAGAAAATCGAAGCCATTCGCGAGCAAGGTTTTCCTTACGTTACAGGATGCTGTTTGATCGCCGGGAAGTTGACACAGCTAGCATTATTATTCACTAGCCGAGCGACGCCGCTACGCGGCGGTATTTTCGGTTTAGTTCTGATTTTTTCCTTTCCGCCTCCGCTACGCTTCGACGGGATAATTATTCTAAAAAACTAAACCTATGTTCCTAAATCGCCGTTTTAAAGCTCATAAATCCAGGTAAAATTTAGATTACCAGAGAGTCACCAGCATCATGCTTACCGGATTAAAAATATTTATTCCAATTGTCTTGATACAATCTCTTCGTTATTGTTGGATATCACTGCATTTACCCTTTTTACCTAAAACCGCCTGCACTTTAAATAACATTTATATAAACACTTCACAGTTGTTTATGTTTAGTTTAGCGTCGTGTCCGATATCACGGGCCGTTTCTGATTCGCTTTGAAACCGAGCTCAAATCAACGCAAAAGATAGTAATGGCATCTCCAGCTTGTACTAATTACCCGCTTGCACTGTCCGCTTCAGCTTGTAAGTAGCTAAAAATTGATCACTTCTCATACCTAACTCAAAGGAAGCTAAACCTTTTAAAAAATTGTAACATTTTAAACGCGTTTAGCGTCCATTTTGTGCTGATTCAGCATGCGTCCTTAGACACTCGATTCTGTGCCAGTTATGATTTAAGCATTTGGATAATGTGTCGCAAGCCGCCTTGCTGCTGTTATTGTTGTTTTTTATTCGATAGTGTAACAATGATTCCAGGATGGTTAAGCGTCATTTAGGCTTGAATTTGATTAGCGTTTCATAACGGGGTCTACTTAACGAACTATATGTTTACCTCTTGTATTGTGGTGTTGTCTTACCGCTCCAACTTAATCGTATCCTACGCTCTTGTCGGCGACTCGTCCATCCGTTAAGTAGTATCGGATTTTGCTGTCTCTAAAAGGCAATGGCTTACAGCAGTAACATATCTGATTTGATTTTTTGTATCAAAAACTATTTATCTTTACGGTTCAAGTAACAACGTTTATTAGCACAGCGTTGTTCTTATGACCAGTTCTTACGGCCAGTTTCTGTTCTACATGTAATACGATATGGCAGTTCAGTCAGATACCTCACACTCAGATAGGTTTTTAATATATCTATAACAAAATAGTTGTAGTTATTTTTTAGTCATTGTCACTTGCAGAAACTATTAGGTACAGAGTATTACGTATATTAATATGTTGCCCTCGGAAGCACGCATTCCTTCGTACGGTAAGCTCCTTGCAGCATTGGAAGCATCTTTAGAGGATATTCCGTTTCAGAATAAGTAGCTCTGTTTAGCACTCAACTATTAAAGCAACATTATTAACATAGTAAATATTAATACTTCGCTGTATCAAAAATGTGCCGCCTTCAGATAATAGATAGCCTTGTGCAAATCTATATATGTACACTGTGAATCACATGAATTTACTGATGTAAGCTACATAATCCAGTTTTAAGCAATTGGAGCCGCCTTTCGACAGCCAATGATAAAGGTAAAAAAAAAATCAGAGAGTTTCGGTGTGACGAACGGACAGACAATGTGCTAGCGTTGATAGTTTAGGATACTAACTAATTTGTATATTTACAGGCGATACTCATGTTACTGGAGCTTACACAACGACACTTTCGGAGCTGGTGTCCACGCTGCGTCAACATGAGTCTGGTGATGAGTACGAATTGACGTAGCTTTTTCTTGTCGTAAATTTATCTACTCAAATTACACCGCGTAGACAGCAAAGTGCAACCACAACAATTTATTGCCTATTTCTTTTTCTTTATACCGGGGTCATTGGTCGATGTATGGGTATCAGGCGAACGTCTAAGAAAACTTTTAATTTTCACTACCAGATACTTTGTTTTAGTGACGCGTCATCTTGTAAACACTCATTGTCAAACATTTCCAACTATGCAACTTAGCGAATTTACAGCGGTTAAAATAAATCAATGAAAAACAATACCAAGCAGTATCAACTTCAGTACAAACCAGACTGCTGTAGATATATTCACTCTTTAGTCGATACCAACGCCAGAGCATGGCGAGTGTACCGAAGTCTGTAGCACCTTGGCAGCGTCTTCTCCCCACAACGACCGCCCGTCGGAGACATCTCAATGACCAGCAATGCTCGTACACCGCAGCTGACACCATCAACATTTCTTGGTTCTGTCTCAAGCGAAACGCACATCGGGCTCCCCATAAAACCCAAAGAGCTTCTTAGCCATTACTTTCAAAATATCATAAATTCCCCTTGAAGAGTCGTACAACATGTACGATGGTTTTGGTTTGGAGCTCAGTGGGCGCCGCTTCGGAATGTGAACTACGCACACCACCACGGTAAAAATAATAAAAGCTTTCCATTGTATATTTGCGCGTGAGCGCCAACCAAGTAGCAGACTGGTTTCAAACCCTCCATAATTGCTTCGAGTGCGCCGGCCCTCTTCATTCTATTGACTGGATCATGCATGAAAGTAAAATTCAATGCGATCACAGCAACGTGAGGGGTCCGATTCTTGAGTAAAATCAACGTACCACATACCTGTATGTCGTTTAAACATGCATACACATGGAAGCTGAAGATCTACAATTAGATCATGCGCTCACCTCCCACGGTAGTATAATCGACTTGAGTATTCAAGTCTGCAATTGTGGCAAGCTAATGCGGATTCCGTCTATATAACAAAAGAACCAAAAAGTTCTAAACGGTTAGTTGTAAAAACCACAGTTTAGCTCGACATTTTTCTTGTCCTCGAAGTCGATTGAAATTCGTCAAAATCGTTTGGAATCAAATGGTGGCGACTTCAATACCCGATTATCTCTATTCACATGTCAATGGCATTTTGTTTTGCACATTGCAAGTTGTAGTTTACAGCCCATTTGAGCAAGAAAGAAAATAAAATACAGTTGGAAGGGGTTAATCTTTGAATAGTTTATGAGATCGTGAGCCAAACCGAATTACGAATGACCCAACCTGCTTTACATGTATAGGCTTTGTTTTCCATGAAAAACCTGAGCTTATTACCATTTAATTTTGGTTTGGTTAAATACGAATAACACGCGTCACTTACCAACAGTTGCGAATGAGAAATGCTTGGAATCTCCCAGGTGCAGCACCTCCGACTTGCCCGGATAGCATAGGCGAGCTGTTCTTCTTGATCTTGATGTCCTCCAGAACCTCCTCGATCGTGTGCATTTCTTGCGTGGACAGGACCGTACAATAGCCCGGGGCGATATCCCATGCACTAAGCTGGGCGTTGCCTTCAATGTGAATGATGTCTACAACCAGCTCAGTACGTGGATTCTCGTCTCATCAGGCTGCGGTCTAACGTATCAGAAATGACAAATGAGACCCCGTAAAGCAAACTGATGATTAAATGGTTATGAAACAGTTGGTGGTGGCCCGGGCTACCACAACGACCCGGACATCAAATATATTGTCGTAATGCATATGTATTATTTGAGTGTTTGTAAACCGTAATACTCAAATCTATCTACAGGATGATTGACGTGGTTGAGGCGGTCGGATCCACGTCTGTCGCACCCACGCGGCCACTAATGTCCAAGTTGTTGAAAGGTAAAGGTGCGTAGTAGGAAGCAGAATGGAAAGTAAGATTAGTGAGTGACCGGTCCGTCATTTATCCTTCCTATACTTACCCTCGCACGCCATCCGAGACCTCCAGCTGGTCGGCGTATCTCCTGAATCCTGGCGCCAGATTCATTGAATTTCAACACTCCTCCTCGCCGCCAGCGTTGGTCTGCTGCACTCCTTAGTGCAGGCCGACGACTGTCCGCAACTCCGCTAGTCTTGGCGCCCCCAGAGCCTTCGTGAGGATGTCCGCAGGCATCTCCTTACTCTGCAGGTACTCCGGCTTCAGCACGCCGCTCTTCGTGTAGGAGCTCACGAACTTCATTCTGACGTCGATGTGTTTGGCCTTGGAGGATGATCCTTCGCCGTCGAGCTGCTTGAGCGCAG